AATATTAAACCTTATTATTAAACTTCTTTAAACTACTTTCAATGATTTCAAGACATGTTTACTTTTTCTGGAATTATATAATTATAATAATAACTTTATTACACTACTAAAAATCTTCAGAGGGTTTTTGTATGGTAAGAACATAAATACAAAGAAATACAATACAAGTATGAATACTATATTTGATACAGGTTTTTACTAACAGCCAATGGCTAATATAACAATGATCTATTATTGTAGGTGTTCGAATGTCCAGCTTTATTTCTAATAACGCAGTGGGAAAACAAGGATCCATCAAACATTTTCTAAAGACGCAAAACTCAAGGAATCCTGAGCTGTCTATTTCATCCTCATCAAATAATTCTATTTATGTCATCAATGCTGTAATACCCACTCAGTCTGAATCACATGGATTGAAGGAAGATGGAATTATTACTGGCAGTATAACATCTCAACTCGTCATGAAAGAAATGTTTGTAAAACCAAATTTACATACAAAACTAGAACACGTAGAAACAATACATGCCTCAACTTCCAGTGTGAGTTTCAATGAGTATTCTCAGATGAAAGAGACAAAGGTTACTGTTGATAGGGAAGATGATTATAAACACACAAATGAAGACTTACTGCAAACTATTGTTGAATGTAATAGCCCTGCTGGAGTATATTACCCTCATGACAAGACACCGTGTGTAAATAAAGAAACATTAACTTGCCCTGTTTGTAATTCTGAACAAAAAAGCAGTGATTTATTTGTGTTTAATTCACATGTTGACATGTGTCTTAATAAAAAAGCAATTCAAAACATGTTGCAGAATGATGAAGGTAAGTGTAATAAGTATTCATATAAGTATAATTGTATTAAATTGGATACCAACATTTATTGTATCTCCTGTAGTAAGCTTGTTTTCATAGAAAACTGATTTGGTCATTTCCATTTAATTCATTCACAATTTGAATTGGAAAATCAAATAGCTGTAAAAAGTTTGTACTGTATCTAAAAATCTGTTGAAAACATGACCTTTGAACTCCAAGAGGTAGTGTAGATATGTACTATGGATTAGAAAATTAAACATTTAGTTTATATTTATTATATTAAGACAGCTTGAAGATGTTAACTAAACTGTACTTACTTGTACTACTACTCTACCGTGTTTTCTACAATGTATCTTGATATATATTAATATCTTTGTTTTCAGCAGTGTCTCCCAAATTGAACTCTTCTAAGTGTTACTCGCCAAATAAAAGGTCAGAACATATTTAGTATTCTACCTTGTATTGTAATATGTTTGAAAATTGCACGTTTTTTGTACTAGAGTGATGTAATCGCAGTACGTAATATATATTTCTACTTCTGTGATCCTCATTTATACTTTATTCAAGATGGCCAAATGACATGCCTAGTGTCTGTTTTTTCTGCACCAAGTGTGCATTGTTTGGTTTGGTGATGGTGATGTCTGATTCTGTGAGTACAACCTCAGGCAGCCCCTCGGAATCCGTTCTCCGAAACGACGTAGTGGGGTGATGTGGGAAGTCGTCGGTCCTAGTGACCTAATGTTCATACCCTCGCCCTGGATCCTGAAGCAGTCATTCTTGATAGTATTGTCGCTATGACTCTGATAACGAATGCCTCCCTCACAGGTTGGGGAGCGCACCTAATGGACGAAAAATTCCAAGGAATATGGCCCCTGCATTGGATTCAGGGTCGCCATATCAATTGGCTCGAACTGAAAGCAGTACACTTAGCACTGATTTGACCCACAGTTCGGGGCCACAGTGTCTTGCTCTGCACAGACAACACAGTGGTGGTCTACTACATCAACAAGGAGGGGGGGACCAAATCCCCATCACTGTCAGCTCTGGCGGAACAAATCCTCCATTGGTGCCTAGAATGCAATGTGGAGCTAACTGCACACCATCTTCCAGGGGTGCAGAACAGTCAAACGTACGTCCTCTCGCCGCGACTCAGTTTCCATACCACTTACACGCATGAAGGCTCTCAGTAGACTTGCACTGACGAAAGGTTTATCTGAGCGGGCTGCCAATGTCTGGTCAGGGCGAATAGGGGTTCCACAAATCAGCCTACGATTCCAAGTGACGGGCATACTTTGACTGATGTATTGGAAGGGAGGTTGATCCATGCCACCCACTGTTGGCCAGGTAGCTGATTTTTTCGTCCATCTGTTTGACGAATTTGGATTGTCCTATGCAGCATTCATTGGCTATAGGTCAGCCTTGTCACGCGCCATTGAGAACTCTTTGGAGACATACTTTTCATACTTTGAGACCTAGACCCTAATCTAGTGCACCACCCAATTGGGATTTGTTGGTTGTGTGCAGCTCCATAGCTGATCATCATCCCCCGCCAATATTGTCGGCCCTGAGGATCAGGAGGAGTTGCTTCTATGAGAGATGTACTAGGGAGTCGAGGCAAGGCAGCAAGCACATATTTATTTGTTATGGTCAGGGTAAGCAGGGTAGACCAGCCTCCCCGACTTCCATTTCTAGGTGGACCACTTTGACAGTGTTTGAGGTTTACGACCGAATGGCGATCCTCGGCACAGGGTCTACAGAGACACTCATTAACTTTTGCGTCAGGTGCCCCCCTCGAACACATGCTTAGGGCAGGCTTCTGGAGAACGCAAAACGTTTTTATCAATTATTACCTAAGAGACACGCAATCAATTGAGGAAGGCCTTTTAGGGTGGGTCCTGTCGTCGCGGGTCAGACTTTGATTGTTGACCTAGCCGGGATGACCACAGGGTTCTCTGTGCTTAGGCGATAGGGAAGTCTCAGCTACAGATTTGTGCAGAGAAGTTTCTCTCGTCAGCACTCTCTTGTGTCATAAGAATGCTCTATGTACCATAATTCAAAGCTACACATAACATTCTGTGAGTACATGATCTGCCTATGTTTTACATAATTCTGTCATGTATATTTTATTATTTCAGGCCTCTTCAATCTAGCAGTCAATCTTCAAGCAAGAAAAAAAGAAAAACTGTCAACATGATGTCATCAAATACACCCACACTTGATAGATTTTTCAGTTCAAGTTAAACATGGTTTAGTAGTTGAACAAATAATAGTTATGAAATTCATATTAATCATACAATAAGACAATTATACAACTTTATTTTAATGTAATGACTTGTATCATAATGTAAAATTTGCCAGGAGGTTTTCCTTAAATATTGTAAACAAAAAAACAATGTTACTTGATATTATTATCATATAATAAAATATAATACATAATTTGATTCAGTATATGTAGCTTTGTATGTGTAAGTTGTGCAAACCTCCCCTCTGATTGGTTATTGATTACATAGTTAGATTCCTTTGTTTCACCTGTTTGACCTGTGGTGAACTCTGGGCTCGGCAGGCTATTGTCTTCAGTTCAGCATGTGCTTCTGAAGAGTGAAGACGTCTCTGTGTCTGCTCTGAATTGCCCTGCCGCATTGGGTTTTCTGAAACTTGCTAGGTTTGCTAACATTTGTACACCGGTCCGGGAAGGTGCCACTAAACGAGGTAAGGAAGGTTTTCTTTTCATTGTTGGCTTCATCAGTATGAAATTATTGGCAGTGATTTGTTACAAGTTTGAGTACTCTATGAACTCGATTTTATCACTCTTACTTTGGGTTATTATTGCAAGTCTGTAAATGTTAGTATTCGTTAGTATTCGTTAAGACTTATTTCTTGAAAATTGTTTTGTTATTTATACTATTTGCCACCCATTTTTTGTGCCCAAACACATTGCGTACATGTGGTCAGCTGCACGTTTAATAGAGCACATGGTGTGCAATGTGTGCTTTGGCTCGTCAAAATGGTTGACAAATATTTCAGTTAGCATTGTTATTTATTGTTACATATTCTGGAGATGTACTAACTTGTTTTGATTTCGTAACGATTGACCATATGGAATAAATATACGATATAACCAGAGTACGCGTTTCTAGTTGGTGGCGTAAGACTGTAATACCTGTGGGAGCTTGTGATGCCTACTATGTATTAAAATAGGTATGTACGTAGTATGCACCAGATATATATCAGGGAAGATATCATAATTTATTGTTATAACTTATTGTGCGGTGTTCCAGAGACCCAGGGTCTGGAGGTCCATCATGTGTGCCCTGAGCCAAACCCTGAGACGTCAGAAAAGGCATTGCTGATAAGGATACTACGTGTATGAAGGGCACTGATCAAAAAGTGGTCGGGAATGTTCCACCAAACTAGCACCTCCATGCATTTGACTGGTACGTACTTAGAATTTACTTTATCTGAGTATTTACATCCCTGACATGTAAAATGATGGAACTGAGCCTTAGGAATTGTCGAATTGTACTGTAGGTGTTCATCTCGCATCAATTAATTGTGTGGTTCAAATAAATTAAATTTATATCTTGACCTAAATAAAAATAGTACAGCAGTTATGGACATTGATTTCAAAGATACTATACTCAACTTAGCACCCAGGGTAATCAGCTCCAATTATTCAAATGACCAATTGTGTTGTGGAAAATGTCATCATTGCCATCAACACTTTTACAATGAAAAAACAGAAATGTTCACAAAAAATATGCACATTTTATTACAATATCATTTACATACCATCAGAATTCACAGTGTAACAACTATTAGAGAAAACAGTCATAATCACCTTCAGAAGCAAATGTTAACACAGTCAAAATCCTTTATAAGATTCTTTATTTTAACAGGATAAGACATGCAAAACACAGAATTGAGAACTGCTTTTCAAAATGTGAATAAACAGAGCGTAAAATTGAATACACCAGGAGTTGTACAATAAAACTTGAAGCAACTCGTGTTGAACATTGGCATTATCGGACGTTTTCTTACAAAATAACATCAATTCAATATTGCCTCGAACCATACGCAACCACTTATTTACTAGGCAACACAGCCAATTCTTGTAAGTTAAGTTTTAATCGAGTAAACTTGTGTTTACCATGTCTGTCTTGATTTCTTGGTTCATTTTGGTGGAGAGCGATTACTTTCACATGGAACAAGTTGTAATAATAATAATGTCACACGCAACGTAATATTAACGTAATTGGTATAGTTACAGGTGTGATGGTTCAAATACCAAAATGGCAACAGTAACAGAAAGACTTCCCTGGCGGCGATGATAAAATACGAACACGGAGCCAACAGATGAGGTTTCAACTGGTACTGGTATTATTATACTCTGCAAACATCAAGTACAATAACGCGGTAAAACTCCACTACTCCAATAAATAGATACTTAAACTCCAATACAATTCAACGAGATCTCCGATCTGATCTCAGTGCTGAACAACTCCCCTATATATACTCACACTCTCTATGAATAGACCATTACATCAGCATACATAATGAGTCTGGACATAAAATAAAGAAAGAGAATACAATCTAAATTAAGTAAAATAAATAAATGTAACTACATACATTTGAATAAGATAAAGTGAACCCAGTCCCCATTTTCTAGGATGGCCAAATAGTATGACATCTTGGCACGAGACAGTAAGCTGTAAACTTATTTCTCCAGTAATTAAATTTTTTTACATGTACCAGCCTATGGTATAGACATGGCAATATTTATAAATTTAAAAACTGTTGTCAGACCAAGTACATGTCAATAGACCATTTTCCGTACACTGCGAGAATCACGCGTTATGCGTGAAATCGAACGTAAAAACAGGACAAACAAAGTAAGGGTATTTGGAAGCAATATTCCTCTGTCAAAGATCGGCCGGTCAATGTAAGCTGCGAAATAAAGAAATTCTAGTTCAAAATCAAATCGTTTGATTTTTGCAGCAAACGTTCGACGCGCGTCTTTCATGCATCTCGCGAGATCTCGCAATTGTACGGAAAATCACCTATTGCCCAGGTCTTGGTTATCCCGGCCGATTCTATATTGTTTCTTTCTAGCCTCGCAGACTATGGTTTTTAATTCACTTATTTTTTTTTTTTTGATTTTCAGTCTTTTGGTTCACGTAATCGTTCCTTTGTTTTCCTGACTGAGTGATGGATCAATACACCCCCCCCCCCCCACACACACACACAGTAATATTTCTTTCATATTTAGGGATCTGGAGTCCTCTCTCAAGGTTGTTCATTTCATAATGATATCTTCAATTTTGTGCAATTCATGAATTTTTACTGATTATTTTTTTTTTATTTTTGACTCCCCAGCGGTAAAACATGGAACTTGCAGAATGCATAGGCCCAAGTGTAAGCAGTGACCATCAGCTTTGAGTTTTGGTGTGAAGGTACTCTGTGGGGTAGAGATTGAAATTTCTTTATAGCAAGTCTCATAAGTACATGTATTGGGGCAGCCAATTAGCAAACTCGCTAGCAAATTATCTTTCTGCTTGGGTTTTGACTAAACAGTTGGCTTTCAAATCTTGCTTGCGCCGACTCGTGGTCGTGTCCACTCTGGGCAAGTCTATATTGCATTAGGGAAAATAGTATGCTTTTACGTAGCCTCAGTGATACATGTCTGGATTCTCCTGAATGATTTGCTTTGCGAGGTGTGATAATGTGAAAGTAGTTTCCTTGGTCAGCCTGAGAATGGCCACAGTCAGCTGGCGTACAAGTGATAATATGATAAATGCGATAAATCCACCGATATTTACCATCTTGAACACTGAATGAAACTATTAAATAAAGAGAAAAGTTGAGAAACAGTTGCCTACAAATCAGGGAGAAAATAAATTTTTACATCAAAACGATTCGTTGGGGTAATATTAAACTAACCTCTAATAAAATTCGACTTCATTCGGCGTTTTTGTGTGGACAATTCCTGTATACGAACACCTCATTACACGAAGAAAATAGAACACTTTCCCTGGTATATTTGAAAGAAATCGCCATCCATCTAAAGTATGACGGCCCCTACTGTTATATAGATTCACCCAGAGAGTGACCTCATGACGGTGCCAGTGAGATTCGAAAGCCAACCGTTCAGTCAAAACCAAAGCAGTTAGCCAATTCGCTAGCGAGTTTGCAAATTCGCTGCCCCAATACTTCTGAGACTTGCTGTAAGAGATTGGAATTTGTGAATAGATCAGTCTATAATTCTGCAAATTGGGTCAAAAAAGCTAAAAATTGACAATTTTTCAAAAAACCACCAGTCTGTTAGAGTTCATATTGAGTATGTAGGACAGTCCTCTGTTTGGCCTGTTGACGTGGAAGCATTATCTTCAAATTTGTTTATATTTTTTTGTCCAAATCATAACTTTTGAGAAATTTGTCTCCAGCCGTCATACACATTGCTTTCATGTCAACCATAAAGTTACTTGATATAATCCTCTGTGATTTTTCATATGGTGGAGTAATCTTTAATTTTGTATTTTTAGTGATTTTTTAGAAGCTACTTTGTTGAATTTTTTGGCAGAAATGCTACTTTCAAGATTTTTTTTCAAACTGCTAGATTGTTAGTTTCTTTTTCAGGTGTGAAGGTTTTTTGATTGATAATTTGTTCAAGTTGTGTAGATTGACTAATAAATCTGCAGAAATGCCAAAACATCTAAATTTTTCTTTTCAACAATTACTTTTATAGACAATCTCTAGGATCTGCAGTGCCCTCTCATGATGCTGCATTTTTTTTTTAAACTGGACAATTTCCCTATTTGAGTTTTTTGATGTCAATGTATTGTGGCAAGGAGTAAACAATTCATACAGTGATCACTCACATACGGCATTGCTTATCTATACATTACATGCTTAAAGCAATATTTGTTATTCCAATTTGTTGTGACATTTTCTAATTTCAGCTAAAAACACATACAGATTCATCTTGGCCATGACACACTTGGGAAAGTATTGTATATTATACTTCTAATTTGTTGCTTGGCTAATGTTATAATTACCGATGAGTATCGGTACCACAGACCTATTTTTTATCATCAAGCTTGTTGGCATCAATTATCAATGATAATATAACACATCTTTTTTGATTTTTGATTCTTTAGTTTTGTTATTTACATTGTTCAAATGTTCACTTGTCCGAACTTTAAATAGTCAGTTGTTCACGGAACTGTTTACTACATTTTCTGTGT